AGGTATGAATCTACCTCTTCTCTCCCCAGCTATGGGTTAATAACTAAGAATGTATCACTAAAATCATTATTACCTCCAAAAAGTAAATAAATAAAATTATGTACAAAATATTTAGATTTCAGCATTAAATAACACATAGATATTGATATGCCACTAAACAAAAAAAAAAATAACAGGTTTTATTATGATATACACTTTAGACCAGTGGTTCTTAAACTTGTTGGAGGTACTGAACCCTGCAAGGGCATCCATGCATTCACCAAACCCTTTGTAATTGGAAAAATGAAATATGATTTCTTCAAAACATAAGTATATATTTTATTAGTGCACAAATGAACCATGCCTCAATTGCACACAAAAGCGCTCTGTTCAAAACCAACAAAACGTGACTTTCACACAAAAAAACAAAAACATAATGAATATTTACTGCAAATCAATGTGACTTTTGCTGTTGCTTTTCAGAAACAAGTTCAGAAATGCACAGCTTCACCTTGGCAAATGCCACCCTCATATTTTCACAACAAAGTCTGTTCCTTTTCTTCATTTTCATGTCTACCATCCTCAAAAAGGATTGCTTGCAAAGATACATTGTACCAAACGGTATGAGTATCTCATGAGCTTTCTTAGCAATAAGAAGATATGCTATGATTTGGTGACACCAAAACGTTGACAGCATTGTTGTTCTAAAGAGTTACTGTTGTACCTGGCTCTGCTGAAGATGAGTGATTTTGTCAAGGTATTCAACATTAACATCTGCTATCACAACACTAAACATGAACAGCTATCCCACCCATGCTGGATATAACTCTGGTGGGGAAGTATCCGTTGAGAGACTTTGTGAGGTCATCCAAGTGAATGGCAACTACTTGCTTCAGTTACTCGGGTACAGAAATGTCTGCAATTCCAGACATGTCTTTGATCTTACTCACACAGTCATCCAATAGGGGAAAGTTTGCAAAATTATCATTCTCTGTTCATCCTTTCCATAATGATAACTTTTTTTTCAAAAATTCTTCAGGTTATCTTCTGCCGCAATGATGTTGACTCCACTGCCCTGCATCTATTTACATTATTCAGACTATTGTGCTCATCTTTGTTGTCATATTTATCACAACGTTTCAGCTGTTGTACACTCCGGACTTCTTCAGGTGGTTGGAATGTCGAACTGAACCCTTTATTTCTCTCGCTGGGGTAGACTGTTCTAGTTCCACATGCCATGTCTCATGGATGTCAGTTATAGGTTATCTCCTGTTAATTCCCCTCTCAGAGTTCTCCACCACGTTAACCAGGTATTGGACTCACACACTTTGGCTCCTGTTACTGGATCTAACTAATGTGTGGACACATGGCACAGTGGATAAAGGCATTAGTTAGATCAACCACCTGAAGAAGGCCAGAGCATTCAGTGGTCAAAGTTTTGTGATAAATATGGCAACAAAGATGAGGACAATAGTCCGAATAATGTAAATAGTGTACATAATACATGCATCTATCAATTGAAATGATTGGCAGCATTGAAAAAATATCAGCCATGTAAACTCAGAATTTTTTAATTAGTTTGCTTGACAGTGTTGGTCCTCTCATAAAAAACTGGGATAATTCCACATGCATGGCAAAAAACATGATTCATCACCCTAGTATAACCACCAATTGGTAGAGAAGTACCTTGATTTCAGAAGCCATTTCTTAACACAGCTATTTGAAGATGTGGTGCTTCATATCACTATTTTGCATATAGTTCTCACATCCCACTACAATTTTTAATACTTCTACTAGTTTTGGAGCCAAGATTTTTGTTACTAATGCATCTCTGTGCAAAACACAGTGCATGCCAATGATGTGTGGTGCATTGGCTTTCACCATTGCTCCAAAACAATCATTGGACCTCCATCAAAACAAACTGCAGAAACTATATTCCACAAAAGATCATTGTTTCTGAAGACATCAACCTAAAGTTTATTCATGCCACTTCTCTTGGTTGTTATAAACAATATTCCTTTACCACATCATCTTTCACATAGCACACGATTACAACAAGCTGGCATAGATTGGAAACATCAGCAGTCTTGTTGAGTTAGAGGCTGAATTTGTTGGGCTTGAAATCAGATCTTTAACTACTTGAGCCAAGATGTCATCACTCATGCCGTCTGTTCTGCTGTTGATGGTGTTAATTGAAAAAGGAATTTGGGTTAACTTATCTTCAGCAGTTTTTCCAAATGTAGTATTCACCATCCTCAATGCAGACGGTTTTATGAGTGTTTTATCAATGGTGTGTGGTTTGCCATGCTTTGTGATGAAGTATGCAACTTTGTATGATGCTGTAAGGATTGGGTTGTTGATGGGTACAAAGCTGAGAACAGGCAGAGTAGCCTTTTCATTGAATTTGACTTGATTCAGTGAGTGTTCTGTTCTTGTATTTCCCATCTCCATGCAGATTTAGGAAATGTTCTCTTAGTTTTGCTGGTGCTAAACTAGAATTGCTCAACTTGATATTGCAAATCATATAATAAGGATGCTGACTTCCATCACGTTCCATTATGCACATGAATCCATATTGTATATATTCATCAGACAACTTTTTCTTTTTTTTTTTGCTTGACATAGTTGTAGCGGAACTGAAAGGCAGCAGTCTGTGGGTTCTGCTGAATTGACAACAGTTCGCCGTTCTAAGAGGCAACAAGTAGCATGCATAATATGTAAGCAGAATAGTGGATGCTTACGCAAATGTAGCAACAGTCCCTGGCAAAATGAAATACTGGACGAATGAGGAAAGAAAAGAATGGCTTACCTTGGAAACATCCACAAATCTGTACGTCATGTAAAGTCTGGATGAAAAAAGAATCAAAATGGTGGCGCCCATGTTTTATGACAGGTGGTCTCGGACGACTAATGCAAAATCTCGTTGGCTAGTGATTCATATGTAAATTATGGTCGGTCCTTGGTTGTATAAAGCGAGCCATCTTTTGGAAGAGACAGAGGCGTTCTTGTTGGCAAGAAGCGAAGGCTGGGTGTGTGACCCAATTTTGCCATCTCTACATGGCCTGTCAGATTGTTACGGACAGTTGTTGAACTGGATTTTAGCTACAAGTGTTGTGGTTGAGAGACAAATCTGTTGCAGACTTATTCCTACCGGAAGTTGACACTCATTATCTGTTTTCTTTTGCTTTTTCTTTTCTTTACCAACACAAAGAGATTGAAAGATTAGGCAGGAATCAGAAATGATATACGATTACAAGTGTCACAAGTCAACTACTGGGCACAGCAAGTTTTCTGAAGCACAGATATCAAGGCCAAGTGATGTGACATGATCAGCTGCAGCCAATGAGGGTCAAGCAGTGTGTGACGTCATGAATTATACAAGTGGGTGAATGGAACAAACACACATACAGTGTGTGTATGTGTCTTGACCACCGCTGAACCCTGGGTTTCAATCAAACCCAGATTAAAAACCACTGCTTTAGACAATGTAGCTGACAGTTTATTTTTTTACAGTAAGTTCCACCCTGTCAAAAAAAGGTAGAGGGTTACAATAAAGGGTAGTCTATATGAATAGAAGGGGAAGATAACAGTTAACTCTAGACTCCAATCAGTTAAGATTGTAGTGCTCAGGAAAACATCCTCTAGGGATTCTATTCCATTGGGCAGTGTTTGTAAGGTCATAGAAATCTAGTGAAAAGATTTTGTACTGGTAACTCAGACCCAAAGACACATTGGGATGGTCAAAGTGCATCCCAAAAGCTAAGCCGAATATTAAGAGACAGAAAAATTTCATTAGAAACAAAGGAAAGACTGATGAACTGTTACGGGATATCTGTCCTCCTGTCTGGAAGTGGATACTAAACAATAGATGGAGAAGAGACATGAAGCAACAGAAATGTGGTTCTACAAAAAGATGCTGAGGATACCATAGACCAAACATGTGAGCAATGACAAGGTTTTGGAGAAAATAGAAACAAAAAGGAAACTTATAATACTTAACATCAGAAAGAGACAATTGAAATTTATGGGGCACATAATGAGGAAGGAGGGCTGGGAAAATCTGATACTCACAGGACAGATTAAAAGAAAAGAGTTACAGAGGAAAGCAGCATGTAACATACTTGATGGGCTTGAGTAAATGGATGGCAGAACAGGGTTTGGGAGAAATAAGTAAAAGACAACTTACTGAGATACAAGGGACAGGAAGATGTGGGGGGCCATGATCACCAACATCTGAAGAGACATGGCACATAAAAGAAGTCTAATTTAAATGTGGCGATTAAATGTCTCCCCACCCCTGACAAAAACAGAAAGGTTGTCCGTATTCAGTTTGTGCAAATAGTTGAGTATAGACCGTTATAAGACCTTACAATAGTTTTGAAGAGGGAAATGAATCTCTAAAAGCTACTCACTTTGCTCAACCAAATAATGAAACTAAAATCAGTGTTTGCCGTAAACTTTAAAGTGAGTAAAATTTTAATCTCCAATTATAGAATTGTTATATTCTGTGCTAATAGGCATATATACTTGAAAACACGGTGGATAAAGTAAGTAAGGTTTATTGTGAAAACCAATACAATAAAAATAAAAGTAACAGTTATGCACAAGGTCATCACAAGTGAATCTAGTAGTGAGTGCTACTATTGGAAGGTCAGTAGTTCTCGTGTAAGTTGTACTCAACAGATCCCAGCTAGACTCCGTAGTGCGTTGACTTATAGATACTTATAGGCAGTTACTACCTGTAGTGTAGTCACTCATGGGGTGACAGGTTGTTCCATTATATCAAGAATCATTTGTTTATACTGTATTTCTATTCAGAATTGTTATTTTATTCCTGTCATTGATTGAAGCCATTTTTCACTTTGTTTAAATAGTCTGCAGGCATCTGTCTGTCACTTTCCTGCAACTCTACTCATTTTTCAGAACACATGCATGTTTGCTTAATAATAATAATCAGACAAACTACAGTCTGCCAAGATTGCTTGCAAGCCTAATATATTTGCTGTCTTCTATATACACAGATATTGCAGCCTATCCAGACAGTGTGAATGTTCTCAACCCCAACCAACAAACAGATGTTCGCACACCTGATAAACTTATTGATGGCATCAATGATACCAATGATGGTGCTCACATGTGGCTGGCTCCAGTTCTTCCATCAATTGTAAGTGTTATCTGTCATCTTGCTACTCGGGTGATTGTTGGAATTTGTAACACTGAATTGTTTATCAAATTTTGAAATTCTTAATGCACACATGCAATTTGATTGCATACAAAGTGGGTAGGAATTAAATCCAAATATGAAATAGCAAAAATATTTGGCCACCAATAGGCTGTTTTATAGATTATTTTTACAAGTGTTTCTCATATTGTCATTTTGAATGAAGTCTTTGGTTATCAAAATTGATAATCATTGAATGTCATCCAATACACACACACACACACACACATTACTGTAAACATTATATTTAGTGGGCATACATGTTTGAAAGACATTTAGTGGGCACACATATTTGAGTAGATACAACAAAAGATGTACATTTCTTAAAATGAGATAATTACAACTTTTTCTTTTCTGTAGTGGCTTTCCATTGTCCAATATGAAAGCAGACAGTGGTTTCTCAGATTAAAAGTGAATACATTTTCAATTCCTTTTGGCAGGTCAATAAGAATTTCAAACACTTTTGACTGCTTTATACTAATAAGAAACAATATTGAATAGAAAAAAAAAATCTATTAATCACTTTATAGGCATGAAACTCTGAGTCATACTGCCAGTGTAGGGTATTATGTACTTTTATATATAATGTATATTTGGGCAGCAACCTTTCTTTTAAACATGTTTCATTGCATATGACAGACAAAGAAAATTTGATGAATTTTTTATTAGTTTTTCCAATCTTCTTACATTATTCCATTTGGTGGGAGTAAGTGAGTCCAAAAATTGTCTGTATTGTCCATTGTTCAAATTCTTACAGTCACTTTTTTAGTCATTTTCAAGAAGATAGCCAATGCCTGAAAAGATATAAAATACCAGTGATAAAAATCTTCCTAAATAGGACACACCTAAATTCTTCTTCCCAGGGAATATTTCTAAGCAAACTAAAACACATAAAACAAACATTAGTTAACAATAATTTTCCCAACTACATAATCAATAAACAAAATTATTCTTACAAAAAATACATGACACCAGTAGTAAAAATACCATACAAGAAAACATCAACATATTTTACTGAAACAAGATGCACAATAATTAGAAGCAGGATGAATTCACTATACAATTTATCATTAAACACCATATTTCTGCAGTAAATCCTGAAAAACATGTAACACTTATAAAACAGAAAAATGGAAAACTGCAAACCTTGTTATCACTAATCAAAATAAACTTATCTAATTTAAACTAGCAATGTCTAATATAGTTTATCAATTTCCCTGACTACTACAAGACGGTGCTTCTTGTCATTAATAAATTATGTATATTGGTCATACAACCACCTCCTTGAGTAGATGCCTCACATATCACTTATCTGAACAATTTACAACAACCTTTAAGTAGAATTTTGGTCAATAACACTAGCATCCTATATAGGTCTTGTTGCTTAAAACATCTTTACATAAAATATCTGGCATCCAGTATAAATCCCACCTCAGTCAGCAGTAGAAATGGTGTGTTGAAAGTTTTTTTTTTATAAGTAGAAAGATGCCAACTCCAATTCCAGCCACTCTCAACTTGTGATGGTTGTAATAAACACTACTACTATTTACACAGAACAAAAACTACATCTACTACAGACAAACATGAAAAGAAATGAGCAACACCTAAAAACAAATCCCCTTGAAAATGGCTAAAGAAGTGGTTGAAAGTACTTGGGACATATGGGCAATTTTTGCATTCCTACCAAATGAAAAAATGTAAGCATGTAGTAGTAATTTATTTCAAAGAATAATACAGTACTAACAGTTGAAAACACAGTCTACTGGAATAACAGTTAATTGTGAATTTCACCTCAGCTCTGTTCAACTTCCACTCTCTCAATAAAAGAACCTGCTATTTATCTTTTTAGATCAGTCCCTAGCATGCAAGCATCTGCAATAGGGATTGGCTAGCCAACCTAGTAAACAGGTATCCTTGAATACGAGTCAGCCATCCCTATTGCAGATGCTCGCTCAAGCACATCTGTGTTTATTCAACACCCACACAGCCCACCTGTGGTTTATACTGCAACTATGCTGAGCAGACCTTACTTACAGCTTCTGGGAAAGAGCATGTTATCTAGTGTGATCAACAATTTGAACAAGGCCAGCATGCTCAAACCCTCGCTCACTATCTTTAAATAACCTGTAAAGAGTTGATAAGCTATAGAAAATGAATTCCTCAAGTCATATATATATATATATATATATATATATATATAGTAGGTATACTCAAAAGTTCTTAGCCTGTCTCATTTCACAAAACCTGATCAAATATGAAAAAAATAAATCAGTAATTATATAATACCATATGTTGTGTTTTCTAAAGCTGGTAGATTTTTGTCTTTCTTGGTGATGAAGCACACATCTCAGTTTTCCAAATGATTCACATTCCAAGCAAAAGTTATTGGTCACAATTTCACTAGTAAATTTAATCTCCATTTATGGAAGTTGACATTATGAAAACTGTTCTTAGCATTTACAGCAAAAATTACACCAAAGCTACATTTACCATGTTCTATGATTTTCTTCACCATTTCTCCAAATATTCCATTATGTCCTTGATTGAACCCAATGTTTCATGAGCTTTAAGCTACCATCATCTAAACAACTGTATTGATATCATAAAAATACTGATTATTTAATTTCTATTCATTGTCAGTAAGCACAAATTAAAATGCTCACAGATATGCAACTTAATGTCTAAAAAATGCAGTAAAACTTTTACTACTCTTTTTAATAGTTACTGTAATCAGTTTCTTCTGGCTTGTAATAAAGTTTCTTAATTTGTTTCCTCCAACCTTCAAAGTAGCATAAGTCAAACACTCCAACAACATGTTTCTCCTGTTCACTACTGACATCACATTCTCTTTTCTCATCTTGAAGCACTTTTTATAAATTTTTGAAACAATTCAAATTTGCATAGAGGTGGAAAGAGATTCTTGTGAAAGTATCCGACTCCAAGATCTATCCTTTTGTTATATAGGAATAAAGTGTCACTGCTGACATTTTGGTTTGAACACACATCACCAGAGAGCAAGCACAGTCAACCTCATCTTGAAATAATTAGATCACATGATGGGTAAAGGAAAAGTGTGTGTATATATATATATATATATATATATATATATATATATATGGGAATTAGTGGCATCTGACCAAGTTTTGTTCAGAGGCGTTACTATTATTGTATGTATGATTTACAAAGTCTCTCTTATGAACAGGCATTACAAAAGTGGCGATGAGTATTCATTGAACTTACATGAAGGAAAAGTAAAATATACATATTCTACACGTTGTAATAGGATATTTGATAATATTTACCACTTCACTAAAGAGATATCATATTTGCAGGACTACGGAGAAATAACCAGGCGAAGTTATTCAAAAATTAATCTACAAAATATTCAGCAGAGTACAGCAAAATGGAAGAACTAGAAGCTATCATGATTGATTATGTTGGTGCTACAAAAGCAACAACAAGAAAAACAGTTGTAACAGCAAAAGCTACAAGAACAACATTTGCAGCAACAAAGACAACAACATGAATAGCAATTACAACAACAACAGAAGTTTTTTTTAATTTTTTATTAAAACTACACAAGAAAAGTCTTCAGATTAATTCACTCCAGATGCTGTTGCTAATTCAATCAGTGAATTTGCATACAATGAAGGGATAATTTTTCCAACTTATTATAGAAGATATAAAGGGATCTTCAAAAGGGATTGTTCGCATTGGAATAATGAAAAGAAAGTTCAGTTATTATTAAGGAAATTGTCCCCTGCTGTATATGAAAAATATGTGAATTATATTTTGCCTAAAAAACCAGGAGAGATAAATTTTGATGAAATTATTGTAATACTATCAAAAATCTTTGGTGATAGGAGTTCATTATTTAATTCATGATGGCAATGTCTTAGTAACGTGTGATGATAAAGATTTTATCATTTATGCAGGAGTCATGAATCGAGAATTTTAAATTAACTCCAGTTTTATTTAAATGCCTAATATTTGTACAGGGTTTAACTTCTAATAAAGATCCAGGATACTTGCTAAATTAGAAATGGATCCCAAATTAACTCTCCAAAAAATAGTGGAAGAGTGTCACTGTATTGGAAATCTAAAACTCGATACTGCAAGGATTGAGGAAAGAGATATTTCCCAAGTACATAGCGTCTAACCATCTAAAAGAAAAGACTGTAGACATTTTTCAACTCCTAACAGAACAGTAAAAAAAAATGCGAAACACTCCCATCAATACCTAATACTTGCCACAGTTATGGAAGTAAGCATTTCAAAAGTAATTGTTTTTTCAAGGACAAAAAAGACTACGAATGTGGGAGGGTAGGATACAAAAATACTTGTCGCAGATACAAAAAATGGAAGAAAAATAAAACATGTGTGGATATGATAAATACATGGAGTAAAGATAAGAAGCATAAAAGGAAAATTAACAAGACTTTGAATGTGTTTTTAACTGAATTAGAAACATCTCAAAAGAGGAAAGAAAGAAGTGGTGTTTGTATTAAAGAATACTGCTAATTTATTTAGAACAGACTATATTGCATTATTTGATCTTTGGGACCTTCCAATTAACTCTGTTTATAACAAAATAAATATTGTTACCTCCGGTGCTAATACAGCAACTGAAAAATTAAAGAATGAATTGAAAAAGAGTTTTCCAGAAGTTTTCTCAGAAGGTCTAGGGAGATGCACAAAAACTAAAGCAAAATTTGAATTAAAAGAGAATGTAACACTGACATTTAAGCCAAAGAGGAGTGTACTTTTTGCAGCTTTAGAACCAATTAATAAGGAATTAGACAGACTAGAAAAATTAGGTGTCATCTCAAAAATAGACTATTCCAAATGGGTATCACCAACAAATTATGTTAAAAATAGAAATAATAAAATTTGCTTATGTGCTGATTTTTCAATGGGCTTAAATGAAAACCTAAAACAATATAACTACCCATTACCAATTCCAGAGGAAATTTTTGCCAAATTAAATGGTGGTAAATTTTTTTCTAAATTGGAACTGTCAGATGCTTACCTATAAGTACTAGTAGATGAAGAGAGCTCAAAAAAAATATAGACCCCCAGAGGAAGTCATCTCAATGGGGTGGTGTCATATAGGAATAAAGTGTCACTGCTGACATTTGTGTTTGAACACAGATCGCCAGAGAGCAAGCACTGTCAACCTCATCTTGAAATAATTAGATCATGTGACAAGTAAAGGAAATATATATATATCTGGGAATTAGTGGTGTCTGACGTTACCATTATTGTATCTGTGATTTACAAAGTCTCTCCTACAAATGGGCATTACAAAACCTTTTTGAATATATGACTTGTAAAGATGCCAATTTCTTTTTTGGAATCTTTTACACACAAGACACATTTGAATCTATATTTGTCCAGGGGGTAAGCCATTTTCTCTAGTATTAGATTTCAGGCACAATGTATCATACATTAATATATTGATTTTTTTTTTAATTCATTTCATCCCAATCAAGGCAGGAATGCCACTAGTATGCAGGGGGTTACAGAGACTGAGTATTGGGATGATTGTTGAAAGGACAAAAGATAAACGTGATTCAAGTAGATAGAAGATGGCCAAGGACATTGCATTTAAATTTTTAAACATTGTAGCTATCAGGGAAGCCTGTAAACAAGAAATGTTCCACAGGAGGCTAGAAATTTTTTGAGAAAAGAAACTGTTGAAGGAGAAGTGGCAGTTGCATTTAGCTATTTCAACAGTAAACAGGTGGGACCTAGATGCCAATCTAGTAGCACATTTAAATTCATGCAGTTGGGGCACAGTAGAAAAAAGGCTCATCAGAGCAGTTGCCATGAAAATATTTGTAGAAAAGCCAGAGGGAAGCCACATCATGTCAAGATGTCAAGTCAGGATTAATTACTTTACAGATTCTTCTATGGATTTTATCAAAGACCTTGAGATGAATAGCAGGAACACCAGACCAGATATGACAGCAGTATTCAATGCATGGGAAAATGGCAGATTTGTAAATGTCTAAGATGGTACAACACAGTGACCCAACATTCCTTACTAACAATCCTTTCCTGTCTGAGTTTCCAATGAATTTATTTATCAAAATCGTCATCAATACAGATACACTTTGTACATCTAATAATCTAGCTCTGTTAATTGTAATGTACTTTGTTGTAGATGATCTTAAATTGTTTTTAGATTATTATTTTTCAGGTTTTCCAAAGTACTTTATTTCTGTTGATTTCTATTTTGTAGGTAAATAAAGTTTATGTGATATTTGATCAACCCACAACAGTATCCATGATAAAAATCTGGAATTACAACAAGACACCATCCAGGGCCACAAAAGATTTTGCTGTAAGTTTAAATATGTTGTTCTTAATTTAGAAATGTGTTTCTCAAATTGTATATATCTATATGTATGAGGGTCAGCTGGAAAATTCATCAGTGTCTGCTTACATTTATATCTTGGCTAGCCTGTGAACTTATATGTATGTTATATGTTACATATGTGCATATTTGTATTTATATATATATATATATATATATATATATATATAGTCATCCACAGACAGACTGTTTCACTGTATCACAGCTTATCAGTGTGGCTAGACATCCGATTGCCTCAAATCAAGAACGAAACCCTACTGATTTGGCATGAGTCGGAGATTCTCCTCCTAAGCTATCAGCACCCAGTAGAGGGGAAGGTGAATTTTTGCATATTTATTCTTTTGAATAAACACGCCAGTGAGCTAGTGGGCTTGACTCATGGAAGAATTTCAAATATAACTAAAAATATTTCTCTGAAAGGACAATATAAATAAAGTCAAAAGAAAAACTTATCTTAGCTGACAGATTTTGTCCTCTGATGGACTTTCTCAAAATCAAATATAAGGATTTTATTTTGCAACATGTAATTATAAACAAAGGTAAAATGTTGTTAGTTTTTCAAAAACTAGGTATGTTATGGAGGATGCTAAGTGGCATAATTTAATGTCTGATAAACAAAAGTGAGTAAACGATTTTGTTGAAATTTTTTTTTAATCTGAACACTTTTTATCCAAATCTTCAATCTAGGTATTTAACTTTATTTAAAACATTTAAAAAATGACAAGAAAAAAAAGAAACAGGTCATGTCATTAGAATTTAAAAAAACTTGTTTGATATCTATGATGGACTCTGCTGCCAATTTTGATATATGAGGACCCACCATTCTCATTCAATTTTTATATTTGTGTTGTATGTGACACTTCATTCTGCTAATTACCTGTATACAAGTACACATATTGTGCAACAGCGAGGATCTCAAGACATAGTTGCAGGAATATTTGTTGGCACTTTTCACTGTTGTCTTTTGTTTTTTAACCAGTCAATACAAATGATTTTGAAATTTCTGATATTGCTCTAGCACAAATATCTCTAGGTATTTCTGTTGTTTGGGACAACTCACTCATAGTATGAGGCAAATTGATAGGTGAGATGTTCCACGTTAGTTTGAAATATATGTGTGTACTGGCAGCAAGAATTCATTCATTTTTTTTTTTAATTAAAATTGACTGAAAAGTCTTAATCTCTCTCTGTACTTTTCATTTATCAAGTGTCAGGTGAAATTGATAATTAAAGTTTAGCATATTCCTTAGCTATTGAGAAGTCAGCTGTAAAATCAATAATCATTTTTTCAATGCTAATAGAATTTGGATATACACTGTATTAAAGACAAAAGAATTCCTGGCATTATGATTATTCCATCCTGAAAGACACATACCATTTTTAATTTGTAAAACTTCAGAGGAAAAAAAATGAACTTAAAATTAAATAAACTCAAATTGTAACCTTCGGTCTGTAAGATGCTGGATAAATTTTCATAACAGAATGAGATTTTGGCTATTCTAGAAGACCCCAATGATAATACAGCCTTGTACATCTTTATACAGTCATAGGTGATTGACTAAGTAAGCAACTTGACATTTTTAAAGATAGAGATTTCTATGAAGCATATCAGACAGGGAAGGTTCTATGAGGTTAAAATCATGTAAGACAGTGGTTTCTAAATGGTGCAGTGGACCTAATAGGTGCAGCAGAAGAGAATAGCAGGTAAGGCGGAATGATTGAAAGACAATCAAAGATTCAGAAATGGTTTAAAAAAATTCATATGCCAAAAATAAATATGATTTAGATAGATATATGGACTGAATGTGATAGATATTTTTGTGATAGACATAGACTGACTGTGATTGATATGAACTAATTGTGATAAATAACCAAATCTAATTGAATTTGAGCTGACTGATTTACAACAATCCTCTCTTATCTTTTAGCTAAGTTTGTTACTTCCCTGGACCATCAGTGGAAAATATGCAATATGGTAATTTTGTATGCATTTATGTATGAGTAAATATGGATGCCAGGTGGTACTGGAAAATGTTTTGAACCTACACACTTCCCAAATTCTGACCAAACATTATGCGGCAAAGACTTATGTACTCAGTTATAAAAAAAGGCATCAAATCACATACGTATTCACAAGGAAAAGAGAAAACTCACACAGAAATCTGATGCTAGTTTTGAAACCTGTTACATTCAAACTTCTGTTGGCAATGATTCCATCCAGAATTTTGTCAGCAGTTTTTCCATCTGGTCTTTTGCCCCACATCACTCATCAATAAAAATGTGTCCAGTCTGGCAGTCGGGGGCAAAGAATTAACATTGGTGTTGGTGTTAGCTACAATCCCTTCAGGTGTTTCTTCCAGGTGTGAGTCATTTCCTTTTGATCAATGTATCACCTGCTGATTTGTCTCATGTGTTATATGCATTAGCCCTCCTTTAGGTGAAAGGGTTACCTACCAATTGCCATGTGTATATGCATTAACACCCTCTTCGTGAAAGTGTCACTTTTTGCATTGTACCCTGTATTATCACTTCAACCAACACATCATTAGGTTATTTAATATTTCTCTTTGCTTTTCTTGCCATCAGTATGTCTTGTCAGTGTCAAATTCTCTAAGCCCTTTTTTCTCAATATGCATCCCAGAAATTTCAACTTTTTCTTATTTTAATTACAAGTTTTTGTTTCTATTTTCATTAAAAATTTGTTGTGGATCACATGTTTCTATGGTATTCTCAGCATTCCTCTGTAGAACCACATCCTTCTAGCCTCAAATTTACTCTTCCTCTTGGAGGAAATTGTTCAGCATTTACTGCCATATAAGAAGACTAATATTACATAGCAGTTCTATACTCTTTTTCTTTGTTCCTAATGATATCTTCCTGTTTCTGAACCATTTTATCATTGACAGTTTCTTAAAATAAAGAGTTGTGAACTAAACTCCTTGCATTTTTTCTTCTCAGCCAAAAGACTTTTACAAAAACAATATTATGAAGCTTGTAAATCATTGGAAGTAATTTATTGTAACAATGGAAACTTTGTTAATGAATAAATTCTAATTAAATATGAATTTTTGATATTTTTTCTTATTAATATTCAGACAGTATTTGTTCATACCTTATGTACCCTTTATAAAACATTTCTTCCTTTCCAAACAAGTACTGAGTGTTGCAAAAGTCTGAATAAGTTTTTCAAAAGAATAAATTCTAGTAATTTTACAAGAAAAGTAAACAAAAAACAACTACATATGAAAGTTTTTTTTGTTTTATTTCATTTTGTTGAGATGTTATTTAAGAGTTAATCTTTGCAGTTCAAGAATTTTAAAAAATCTTCACCAAGATCTACCGGTAACTAGACATTTTGAATTCAGTGCTATCTTCAATCAGAAAACCGGTATAATAAAATTTTATAAGATTATCTCTTTTAAATTAACAAAACCAAATCAAAATAAATTTGAAATCTTGAAAATTTAAAATCTTTTCTTTTAGAATGTTCTGCATTTAAAATCTCTAAAGTTATCAAGAGTTTAAAACAGCACCAAAAGTTTTGAGATGCCCTTATTGATTAGTACTTGTTTTTTGGCAACCAGTCTATGAGCAGGGAACTCAGAATCTAACATTGTTTGCGTGTGAGGGAAGAGCAGAGGCATAAGCCAATAGATCATCTTTGTTATAAACATTGTGATTAAAGTAAACTCTCTCAAGCTCTCCAGTAACCAACCTCTTTTTTTTTTATATGGGTCACAGCTGGTTCGAAGCAAAATACTAGAGGTCAGAAAATAAATAGACTGATATCAATTGGTTTGTGATACCAAAGGGTGAAATAACCACTTTTAGGCTGAAACTTGAAATGTTCAATCCTCCCTTTCCAGCCTTGACAGCATTCAAAAGCATTTATTTGCTCTTTTGTGGGATGAATTATTTTCCATCTGATAATCACTTTCATACAGATGAAACATTGTTTGGTTCTCACTATTCTGTTGGTATTTTCATAACAAATTTTCAAATCATTGACGTTCCCTAGTTTCACCAGTTCAGACCTTTACAGATAGGACCTGCCATAGGCTCAACATATCCTTATTCCTTTGTAAGGAAAAAGTTTGACTCAGATAACTTTCTCACCTTGTGAAATAGACTATCCCCCATCACTATGATTTTGATCCATTCAAGTCTAGGATTAACTGTCATATGTCTGCTATATCCTAATAATATGCCCTTTCCTATATCCTCCATTTACACCCTTACAATAGCCTCTACTTTGAGTGACTCTTGGGTCTTGTATTGGGTGAACAATAGTACAAAAATGGTCTATGAAAGCTAAAACTTTTAGATTTGATTCCATCAAGACTGACAATGCTTTTTTGCTTTCAATCTTTGGACATATAAAGCATATATGGAAGAGTGGTTTGCCTAAGTAGTCACTTACTCTTATTCAAAATTCCATTGTAAAGGCCTTCTTTAGTAATGATATTGTATTAAAAGAAGAAAAATAAAGAAATGAAATAGTGACAAATTGAGTGTCCAGATCAACCCATTCTTAACAATGGATGTTATGCAGAGAGCTTGTATAAGATCTGTTCAGAAATGTTTGAACATCACAAGAATCAGATATGTGATTATGATATATCTTGGCAGCCAATCAGAAAGATCCTTATAGCATATATGCGAATAGACACTCCTCTATTGGATCAATTTCTTGGCAATGAGATGCTGCTGAATGAACTTCTGCTTTATGGAACCATCTCCTGCACAATGTGTATTCTTCATGTCTTGTACAAGTTTTTTTTTTCTGTTCTTTCATATCCTCCCTGTCCATATTTGGTTTGCTGCAACTTCCGAGTTTTTCTAATGCTAAAATTACTATTGAAAGTGATTAGATTTCAGAGACTCAATTAGATAAAGAAGAATGTGATGAGGCATCTGATGACGTTCACTAAAAGGACATTTGAAGACTGATTTGAAAAGTAGGACGGATACTGGGATAAGTTTATGAGATCCTAAAGTGAGGATGACAAAGTGGAGGAAGGCTCTATTTCTGAAGGCTGGTTATTTCTTCATTAATATTAAATAACTTTCCAAACAGACTTTGTATTTGTGTTCCACTGAAAAAGGCTATAGAAATATGGAAACAATAAAAGCAGCAAAAAGAATGAGAGCATTCATTGAAACAAATTTAACATTGATCAAAAAAGGTTCCCCAAAATGCCTCTTGGCATACGGCCATATGTTGAAACACTGGTTCTTGTATGATTACTAAAGTTAAGCAACACTGAATCTGGTCAGTATCTAAATAAGTGACCACTTGGCAATACCAGGTACTGTAAGCTTGAATATGCAGGTAGTGTGATGATAGCTCCAAATCAGAAAACAGATAGCCAAATTCAAATTCCAGTTGAGTTTGTTATATTCATTTACATGCAAATACCCTTGGGAAAGGTGTGAATTCTTCTCTTCCTCCCAGCTATGGGTTAAATAGCAAGACAGACTGAGTTCTATAGCATTGGCCTATTGCAGAAAGTAGCAGCATCCTACTGTGGGAATTGTTCTGTCAAGTCTGTCAAGGAATCAAAAAAAAAGTGACGTGATCACCCAAGTATGCATCATACATGGCACTTCAGTAAGGAAGTTCACAAGAAAGCTTGGATGTGCTGGTGGTGTAATGGTTAACAGCTCAGAATTGAAAATCACAGAGCCAAGTTTCAGTTCCAGTTCACTTACATGCAAATACCCTTGGGAAAAGTATGAATTCACATCTTCTCCCCCAGCTATGGTTTAATTAGTAGGTCTTGTATCATTTTTACCATCTCAAAAAGCTTACAATCTAAAATATATTTCTGGTTGGAAATAATCTACAAAAGGTTGTTAGACCATAAAAAACAAATCAATCAACCAAAATCCTTAGTACAGTACCCATGAATAAAACCATAGAATGATTTTGTGAAAAGTTGTAATAAAAAATAAAAGCAACAAAAGTGCCAGTTTTTTTTGGTTTTTTTAATACAAAGGTATACTTTTTAATTCTTGTACTGTTGAGCTAATGAATCCATATTGACTAGAAGAATCTTGGAGAAAGGATCTGCCAAAATGCTAAAAACATTTTAAAAACTTATAAAGTGGAAACAAAAATGAGTTGATATGTCCAAAGAATTCTTGGAATGATTGTTTTCTTCATAAGTTGTTATTTCAAATTTACAAGTTAACCTATGTTAAGAAACTTTTATATACTTTGGAACATTAAAAATCACCTTGCTGTTCTACTTGCAGTTGTTAGTTGATGAACTTTTGGTATGCAATGGAACCCTCCCTGCAGTAAGCACTGCCTCTCGGGGGATCTTACCAACTTGCGACATACCACAACCCTACCACACTATTTTGTTTAGTGGGGATCAGGATATTCTGCAAAAGGAGAAACACACCATTATAAGGTAAGTGTAATTAAACTTGTTCAAACAAAAGATAAGAATATTATCAGGTTTGGTTTTAAATTTTTTTTTCCTACACCATTAAACAATTATTCTACAAATCATTCAGACATCCTCCTCCTTTTTGGGTTCATCACTACATTTTGACCAGTGTGTTCTTCAGCCTTCTCCATTGTTTGAGATGAATTATTTTCATTATTCCAAATTTTGAGGCTGGAAAGTGAGGAGTGGGCAGCTCCAGTCCAGATGTCATAGTAATATTTCATTTTTGGTCTGATCTAACTCTTGTAGAGATAGAGCATGGTAGGAGGAGCCAGGAATTACAAATTTTTCCTATGATGTATACAGTTATTCCTTGGGGTATAAGAACTTGCATTTATAACTGTCAGGAGATGACTAAGTGTCTGTATATTATCATTGCTATATTGGTGATGAGGCTATATAATATATGAATGCACAAGAGATATTTTTGGTCTTATCTCAGCTTAGTTCATGCAACAGCCTATGAATAAGATTGTAGTTAGAATTTAAATATTTATGCATCTGGAAGCTTTTAAAACATAGAGTGCATCAGTAGGCACTATCTGCATATTTTGGTAACAAGGCAGTGTGTTATTGTAATTTGTAATGCAATATCAGTCATCATCATCTGTTTTTCTGAATTCTGCTCTTTTCTTGTCCTTTCTCCTTGCTAATGTTTTCTCATTTTCAAACTCAAAGGAGAGTTGGTAATGTTATCTGTCCTGATCTGGCATCTCAGTTTCAGTCAGCTTCCCACCACTGTGATATGGTTTCTCTTGTCTTTTCTATAACTATTTTTATAGCAGTTGTCCTATTGAGTTTTTATTTTTGCTACCTTGACCACATGAAGTTAAAATGATTGGTTACAATGTCTCATTGTTTTATTGTTCAAATAGCTAAATGTAACCATTCTATTCTAGTAGTTTATTTTCTTGCCTATGGACCTCACTTCCAGTTTCTTGATTCCCCTTTGCCTATTGAAAATAACAAGTTCTGTAAGCTTGGAAATGTGGGTGGCATAATGGATATAATGGCTTGGAATTGTTAATCAGAGAGTTGAGTTCCAATTCTCGTTGAGTTCATTGTATTCACTTATGCACAAATAAACTTTGGAAAGGTAATAATCCACTTCTCCTCCCAGCTATGAGTTAACTAATAAGACTTGTTTCACTAAACCATTTAAAAAAAATTCTTACAATCTAAAAATATTTTCTGAATTTAAATAATCTACAGTGTTGTTGATAAGTCAAAGAACATGAATCAATCAAACACCCTTCCACCTATGATCTTTAAAAAATTGAATGCAGCATCAGTTACCATCTTTTATGTTCCTGAACCTTGTGCCATTATTGTCCTTTCTCATCTCTAACATCTCATCTTCTTTCAATCTCAGTAAACATATCTTAGTGGTATTATCTCCCTTTTTACAGTGAAATGATAAATGCTTATTAGAAAAATGACTACAGAGAATTCTAATATAAAAATGATTTTTGTCAATTGTACAACACTAGAGATTTTTGTCATTAGAAAGTCTTCCTCATCATCAATCTAGAATTCCATTATTTATTTTCCTTATGTAATATATTATTTTGGTCCTATGACTCTGAGAGCAATGTTTTCTACAGTTTTAAACTCCTGGTAGGGGCACCCTTGACAGCAAGGTCGAAGATGAGGACCCAGACTAAGTACAACTAACCCCAAAGATCCCAATAGTGGAATAAGAGGATGATGATTACAGCTGATCTCAATGGTTGAACCAGCAGATGAAAAGGGCTACCCATGACAGACATGCTACAGAAGGCCCCACTTGAAATTAAAAAAGAGCCAGCAGATGTCCATTGCACTTTCATAACTAGATTTTGCATGTCTCATTCTATATGTGCCATAAAGGAAGGTCATGAAATCAAGTGTGTGAGTCACTTCCTGGCAATTTGAGGTCCACCTTAAAGAAGTTCATGTCATTGGCACTTTCTACTATTCTGATTTTCTTTCACCTCCAAACAATTCTTTCAAAGCCAGTTCATCTTTACAGAATCTAAAAAAAAAAAATAGATTTTCAGACACTTATATGTTAAATGACACCTCTACTATGACCCTCTTCTACCGGAAACAATTGACTTACATCAGAATCAACTTACAATAATCCTTTAAATTAAATTGAGTTGAAATTAAAATGGGCTCCGTTCCATCTTCAAGCGAAATTTTTGTTGGAATAACGAATATCTGAAATTTACTTGTTTTAAAAATTGAAATCAAAATCCCCGTGGTAACAGCTAGGGCGAATTGTCTAAATTGGGTAGGCGAATGTAGGGTGTTAATAATAAGTAGCGGTATAGAGATACTTTCAAGGTGTCAAGCCGGGGAAAGTTGGGGGTGTCAAAAATGAAACGGAAGATGTATTAATCTTTGTTAAGTTAGCTAGTCTATGGATATTTATTTATTTATTTTATTTTATTTATGAAAGGGGATTGTGCATATAAAAAAAGAAAAACTTTCGTAACGTTTGTTTTTTGACGACTTCATAAAGGGTTATCTTTTATGTAAGGTATTTAATCTACTAACTTGAGCTATGGATTATGAAGGGTGTTATGTTGTATGCATGTTTGTAGTTAATTATTCCTACTATTAATCTGATGATTGGGCTATTTGTTAAACAAGTTATATTAATTTTTGTTTTTATCTAATAATTTAAACCAAAAATCTGATGATGCCTACAGAAAACCATTAACTCATGTCTATTATTTAATAGATTATTATTATTTAGAAGTTTAATAATGTGCAGTTTTTCATGGAGGCACAAAGGGCATGGGTCATCCTAATCTTTACATATTCTAGCCTTGTCAATAATTTTCCATTTAACTTTTGGTGTTTTATTTGTTTCCTTCAGGTGCCAAAAATATTTTGATAGTGAAGTCTGATTTTTTTTGTTTATATTATTAAAGGAGCACTTATGCTGCCTCCATCTATCTTTAAAATTATTCTTCGTGGACCCAATGTATATCATAATATGTATATTAGTGCTAGGGCTCTCTGTGGATGAAATAGTACATTGGTATACCACAGAATTAATACAACATTTATTTTCTAATGGGCAGTCTTCAGGGTTTCTACAGTTACATAATTTTTCCCTTTTATCGTCTGATTTAAGTGCAGAGTTTTTATTAATACTGTTTTGGCATGGGGTTTGTTCAAGATCTTGTTATTGTGCTTTTTTATTATGTGTTCAAGATTATCAGAGCAGCTGTAGCTTAATTTTAGGGTGTTCTTATTGAATATATTACTAAGCTTACTATTGGTGGGGAAGTGTTTATTAATTAGAGCTAAGAATTTCTGTCCTAGTTTAATACTAACTCTTTGGTTGAACGGAGGGTGTACCAAATGATATTTCTTTTTTTCTGTTTTTTCCTATGTCCAGTGTAATTTTCTCTGTAGTTAATGTTAGCATTTTTATAACCACTATTTTTTAGGGCAGTGTTATAGAAGCTATTGTGTTGTTGGAATATTTCCCTGTTTGCGGAGTTAATGCTAATTCTATTTTCTATTGATGAGGGTATATGTTTAATTATTGATGGAGGATGGTTTGACTTGGTGTATGTATAAAGGGTTAGCATTTGGTCTTCTATAAGGTTGGTATGTGTTGCCTGGTAAGTCTAGAGTTACGTCGAGGAAGTTAACCCTTTTCAAATTAGAAGAGACAGTTATCTTTAAGTTTAGTTTCTTAAATTCACTAAATATAATTTTTCTGATTTTTTCAGTCTTAAAACTAGTAGAACTCCTCACCATCATGAGCCCATCATCTCTATACAGCCCGATGTCCTTAATATCAATTTTGTACATTATTAAACTTCTAAATAATAATAATCTATTAAATAATAGACATGAGTTAACGGTTTTCTGTAGGCATCATCAGATTTTTGGTTTAAATTATTAGATAAAAACAAAAATTAATATAACTTGTTTAACAAATAGCCCAATCATCAGATTAATAGTAGGAATAATTAACTACAAACATGCATACAACATAACACCCTTCATAATCCATAGCCCAAGTTAGTAGATTAAATACCTTACATAAAAGATAACCCTTTATGAAGTCGTCAAAAAACAAACGTTACGAAAGTTTTTCTTTTTTTATATGCACAATCCCCTTTCATAAATAAAATAAAATAAATAAATAAATATCCATAGACTAGCTAACTTAACAAAGATTAATTATCTTCCGTTTCATTTTTGACACCCCCAACTTTCCCCGACTTGACACCTTGAAAGTATCTCTATACCGCTACTTATTATTAACACCCTACATTCGCCTACCCAATTTAGACAATTCGCCCTAGCTGTTACCATGGGGATTTTGATTTCAATTTTTAAAACAAGTAAATTTCAGATATTCGTTATTCCAACAAAAATTTCGCTTGAAGATGGAACGGAGCCCATTTTAATTTCAACTCAATTTAATTTAAAGGATTATATTGAAATTTTCGGCTCTTGTTTTGAAATATGAGACCTCTTATGTAGCGATTTGGAATCATATTTTTAAATAAATAATTATATTTATGCTCTATTTTTGTATTGAGCACTATTTTTTAAAAATAATAACTAAAATACTAAGGGACTTTGGATTTTTTACCTAACCAGTTCCTTCCTATTTTCTATATATTTTCACACACATATATATATATATATATATATATAGCTCTCTCACTGACCACTCAATTAAGAAAAACTGACTACAACTCTAGCGTACACCTAGTTTAGAGCTAATTAATTAGTTAATCTAGATGAGTATTAATTAGTATAGTGAGTTCAATTCTCATGAGTTCCCAATACTTGTGACCTAGTGTCAGACTAAGCTAAGCTTATTTATATCTGTGTGTGATCCTGGGTCTGAATGAATTAGACTTTCTCTAATTGAAACTTAGATTGTGGTTTGAGCCCAGTTTAAAATGCCCAGGGTTTCAAATGCTGACTTTCTAGGTAATGCTGATCCACACCAATTAAAAAAATATCTCAAAACTTGCACAATCAGAACTATTGTTTGTAGACAGGTAATATGTCCTAGATCTGTTTTGGTAAAAGCTCAGTTACTCAAGTTGTATAACACAGATGTTTGTCTTAAACATCTGCTTAAGTGTATTAAAATAGTTTTACTATGATTATGCAAGTGCATTCATCTTTTTCCACATGTAGTATAAGTGAATGATTGACATATAAGTCATGATTCATTCACATTTGCAGTGTAGTTTTAATATTCATAGAACATTATGTTACAACAATACTTCATTACCTCCCTTTGTTAATGTATTGTATTCCTTTGACATTTCAATGCACTTTCTCCTTACATTTGTTCTGGAAACTGGCAATGTTTCTTTATAAGTCAAGTGGAGGTTGAATGCATGTCACAGAGTGAAGGTTAACAAGCTAGTCTCTTAGGTCATTGCTGGTGGAATGATTTCAAACCATATGGTCTCGCATTTCTCTTTCTGGGACAGATGAAGCCAAGTTCAACAAATAACTACAGTCCCTGTGAAAGTTATAGTCCTCAGTTTTATAGAGATATAGTAGCTTTTGTTTTAGTTTAGGAAAAATATCAAAGGACATATATTTTTGAAAGTTTGGCTGAAGGCTAGTGAAGGTGCAAGCTACAAATTGGAGAAATGTTTTAACAGATGGCAGAAAATTCGACACCAAAATCTTAAGGCAGATTTGAGTGGTGAATGATAGATAATTTCTTTACAGATGAAGAAAAGACTTGAGGTCACAGAGATGTGGTTCTACAGACAGATGCTGGGAATAACATAGAGCAATGAGGACATTTTAAAGGAAAGGGACACTTAGAATCAGAAAGAGTGCAAATTTCTGGGATACATTATAAGGGAAGAGAACACAAAGAATTTTACATTCATAGAACATATTGAAGGAAAGAGGAACAAAAGAAAACAATGAATAACCCTCTAAATAACCGTGTGTAAATGGATGACAGAATAGAGAGTAGGAGGGTATAAAAAAAAGACAGATATTTCTAAGAGCTACTGTTGCATATCGGTTGAGGAAAGACATTTGGACTTATTTCCACTGCATCAGTGTGTGAACAGAAATATGAATTGGTGATAGCATAAACATGAAATGCATCTGGTGGCTAAAATAAACAAGGTGCACAGGTTTCCTGAGTGGAAGGAAATGCATACTTGTGAGAGCGAATGCCAGGACAGGCATGGTCACACAAAGTTGTGTAGGCTTACATAACAGAAGGAGGTGCAGCCACGTGAAATTGCATAAGTGTCCAAATGTTATTTAGCCAGTTTGATTCTTGATCTGGACCGATAGGCTGGCTAGAGGTTCACCGAAGATTTGTCTCCATCAATCCATAATGTCTTTGATTATATCTCACTCTACCGATTCACCACAACTTGAACAATAAAGATATTTATATATTTAAACATAAATTCTTCAGTGTCTTTTGAGCACTTTCAGTTTTCATAAGCCATTATCAAAGAACGTTTTTGTGCAGAGTTATTTCAACAAATATGCATTGTGTTTCTTTCATGGTTATCAAAGGTAAAAAAAGACATCTTTACACCAAAAACTGACACCAGAAGATGTGATGCTGAAGAACCATTAAAAAACATGATGCATATCAATCAACACAGCCCTATCAACATCCAAAAATGCTCTTTGAAAGCTGAAAATGCTCACATGAAATTGGGCATTATATGTTTAAATTCTCCTAAGAAACCAGAAAAATGATCTGATCTTTGCAAAAATTAAATAAAAAAATCTTAGAACTTTCTATGGTCTTCAGCTAAATTTTGATAAATGAAAAATTCCTGCCAATTTCAACGGATATTATATTTCACTCAATATATGTATATGTGTATGTTGTCAATTCTTCAATATACAAACATTTTTTTTAATTACATAGAGATAGTCATCAAATTATGATTCCAATCCCTTCATCCTGTATACATTTTGGAAAGTGTCAGAATTAGTGAAAATTTGCTAGAAAAATTATTTTAGAATTATCTTATCAAAAACCTGAGTGCATACTGAAATCTAGAGCTGACATCTGATGTGATTCTACTGCAGTTAGGCACTATGCAGACTTTATAAATCAGTATTCTTGGATTTGGATGTCAAGACAGTTGGACAGTGGAGGCAAAAATTTTTAAAGCAGCTATCTTAGAATAACATTTTTAAGTTCACCCAATACAAGGTCCAAGAGCCTTCCTAGGTAGAGGGGGATTGGATGCAGTGTGTGCTATGAATGTAAGAGAAAGAAGTAGAAAATTAAGATTATGAGGATATGGGAGATAGATAACTATTGACACTAGACTTGAAAAAGTTAAGACTATAGTGTTCTGGGAACCATCCACATGGGGGTCTGTTCCACAAAGTAGCAGGTAGATGAGTCAAAGATTGATCATAACCAACAGGACTTCACCTCAGGAAATCAAATAATATTACAAGATTATTTTCATTAAATACTATAAATGATGATAATTCCTCATCCCAGGAATTCAGACAGAAGACGATCAGGTGATGATAACAACAAAGATGAGGTCAGTAGTCCACATGCAAATACTGTAAATAATGATAACTCCGCATCTCAGAAATTCAGTGAATCGAAAGTAAATTAAAGGTGAATAATAAATAAAAATTCTCCCTGTTATAATAATACTTTCCAGATAAGTTTATCCAAATTCAACAAATATACAAAATAAAATGAGTAAGATAAGCATTTGAAAATGCTGCATCATCTTCATCATCATGATTGAGAAAGTATAAATGTGATGTAACACAAATTTGATTGGAGCCGCCACCTTCACACCTTTTCTTAGATGTTGACCTAAAAGTCTCTCAAAAGAGTAAAGTAACCCTGGAAATTCTCTTGTTAGTTTGGCATCTCTGCTACTGTGTCTGTGAATCTTTTAGAAAGTCCATTACTGAATTTGTACATTTTCACTTAATTCTAACTGGCAAGTTTTTAACCATTCTGCCTAGTGTTGATGCCTTTGCTAAGATCGTCTCTAAGTGGTCTTTCCTTTCCAGCCATAGCCACCTGACCATTCTGATTTCTTTGTTCATTCCATTTCTGTTCCACCTAATCACATCCTTTCTTACTTTAACTCTGTCTCCTTAAGTTATTTTGATGCTAAGAGTTTTTCTTAGGCCACAATAGCTGTTCCCATCATTTCTGGCTTCATGTTGCTGTTCTTTGCACTTTGATTGACTTTTTTGCAAGTAACTGCTTGTTGCATGTTTGTCTGGCTTTTGTGCTGTTCAGGTAATGCAATAAGAAACAGCTGTTGTATAAGATGGCCAGAAAAACAAAAATTGTCAGCTCTTTCTTTCTAACATTATATTTTCAGATATAACATTAAGCTGGTTCTGAGAAACATTCTTGTTAGAAAATTAACATAAAATCCTCAGTTATTGAGTGTAATTTTAATTTTTGCATGAAATTCTAAGATAAGTGTTAGTAATAATATCTGAATTTTCAATTATTATTAACTAGCTTAAAAGCCGCATTTGTGTGGACTTTTAAGCTAGCTCTCCCCTAGGGCTAATTGGGTCTCCAGCCCAAAACTAAAGACACCTCTGATCCAGCTTAGAAAGTAATAATGATAATTTTTTAGAAATAACTATGAATTCCTCCATTCTCCTCATGGAACTTAAAAACCTCACTTTAACTCTGATTTAGACTATAAGTCCAATTCTGGCCAAAAAACCGATTTGGGCTGAATGTTCAATTTGGGCTGAGATTCCAATTTAGGTTAAAAATTGAGTTCTTCAAACCACAAACTCTGTGGAACTTCAGTTGAGTTGAGTTCTTCAAATCCCAAACTCTACAGAAGTTTAAAATTTCATGTCATATAACCTTGCACTTTAATTTTGATTTGTTGGCATTTTCAGGAAATCAAATTGATTTCTTCAATTCACAAAGTTTTGGAGATATTTTAAACTGAACTTAAAACAAAAATTTTTATATTCACAAAGTTTTGTGTTATCTTAAATTCAATATAAATTAAAAAAACAAAACCAACCAACCAAGTTGAACAAAGGAATGTAACAGGAGAATTTCCCAACTAAAAAGAGGCACTACCATTACTATCATGGGCAGTGGACAGTGAGAGTTGATGACAAGGTGAGGATGGTACCAGAATAACAGTTGATGATATAGTGATGACAGTAGATCCACTGAAATAAGTATCTGAACCTTTGCCTTTTCAAATGCTGTCTGCCATACCAGGTTTTTCTATCACCATTTCTATCTATAAAAGGCAGGATGTGTGTGTGTGTGTGTGTGTGTGTAACGAATGCACAGTTGCAATTTTCGACGGATTTGCACCAAAATTTACATGCACATGCTCCAAGTTAGTGGGAAGGCCAAGACCAACTTTGCATTTCCCAGCTCCCATCGATAGTGGAAATAATCGATTTTTTCATGCTTCTATGGCAGTTTTCATGTAGTTTGTGGCCATCTTGTACTGGCCAGAGTGAGAGCCAATAGCTGGCTGCCACAAATAGGCAGGAAGATTCTATTAGCCAGTGTGAGAGCCAACAGCTGACTGACATGAATGTTAACTAGCATGCTAGCATGCAAAAAAAATTGATAGCTGCATTCGTCACAAGTGGGAAAAATTTAAATCTGCATGGTACTTTACTCCATTTGGCTCATTCGTTTGCTTAAACTCAACGTTGATTCTGATTCCGCATAACTGGGTTGGGTGTGAAAAAGTATTTGTTGTTAACATTCTTTTTTTATTTGTTTTTTCAGTTACGAGTCCTTTTTTAAAGCTGATCGTTTTGTGTTCATTTTGTTTAGTTCTATTTTCGTAATAGATTTAATGTTTAGTATAGAGCTTAGAAAAAATTTGCCGTATGAGATAGGCAAGAAGTAAGGCATGTAGCAACATAAGCACAGAAAAATGCCACCCCCTTAAAGGCAAGGAAGGGCAAAAATAATTTAAATCAAGTGATAGCGATTTCTGTATGAGTCGTACGATTTTTGAATCAAGCACGGACAACGCTGCTAGTTTTGAATATGGCTTCCTTTTGATCTTTGAGTTAGACTTAAGAGGACTTCTATTATTTTTTTAATCATTTCACTACAAACTAGGCAATAAAGCCAATAGGACACACGGGGGTTATTATTATTATTATTAGGTTATGAATTTGATAAAAGTGATAAACACTAGATTGAGGAATTTTAAACAGGAAAATCAAATATATTTCTATATCCTTAAACTTGAAAATCACATATACATTTCTATATTGTTAAACCGGAAAATCAAGTATCCTATCATATTACTTCCCAGTCAACTTTGATGTTCAAAAAGTTAAATGCAATGAGTGAGTGGTTATTGTTAAATGTAAATAAATGACAGAACTGTCCAACAAATAGAATTGACAAAGTTTGCAATAAACAACAAGAGAAAAAAAAAGAAAAGGGCAAAAAACAATAAAAGGTAAGCAAACAATATATACAAGGTAAATTAACAGTAATAGGGCAAAAAGTTCACAACGAATTGGGCTTGACACACGATAACAAGTTCAGATAAGTAAACATAGTGTTCTGACTTCAAGACTAAACAGATTGGAACTGAGTCAAATGAAACTGAGAACCAGCTTATTTTATTAGCTTAGAAGAAATCCCAGCATGCATTTGTGTGCTTCTGCCTATAAATTGGGGAGGGGAAAGTGTTTTACAGTCCTTCCCCAGTAAGTTTGGAATCAACAAAATGTCAATCACTATCTACTGTTTTCTTAATTCTTTTTCTTTTATTGTCCTCTCTCCTTAATAGTGTTTTCTTCCTTTCATATTTTTTGACACTTTATTGCCTTGTTTGATGTGAAGTGATTAAAAACAAATAAAATAAAATATTTAACATGTAAATCAGTTCTATTTCTGTATTTTTAAACATGAAAATAAAGATTTGAAATAAAATAGAGATAAGGAATAGAAATTGAGAATGTTGATTTTTCACAAAAGGTGATGGGGAAATAGACGCGTTTGAAAGCGATAAAACTAAGATAAAAAAAAACAATCCAGAAAACCAGGCCAGTGTTTATTAAATATAAAATAAGGGATTTGAAGCTTAAAAACATTTATATTAAGGAAGTCTTATTAGAGTAAAAAAAAAAAAAAAAATGGAATGAAGCTCAGCTTTACTTTGAGAAATCTAATGCAATAATTCATGGTTATTTATCTTTTCTCTCGCTCACTTTCCAGCAATAAAGATATAAACAGTGGTGTTGCATCTCAATATTCTTTGTTGAAAAAATGATGACTGGTTGTACATCTGTTAATATTTTATATCCAACGTTATTCACTGATAATTTGGATTTAGATTTGCATAGGAAGTTATCAAATTTGTTTTCATACAAATGTATTTGTTCATTTTTTTTTTCTTCTCTTAGTTTGATTAAATCATTTTTTTTTTATTTGTTTTAATCTTTTTTCTTATTCACTGGTTTTCTTTTTTCTCTTTTTATTGCTTCTGCATTTCTTTTTAGCAATCTAACAGTTTTTTTTTCCGTGTGCCTCAACCCAACTTGTTTTCTTCTTAATAATCCCATTAGCAGAGATAAATAATTGTGAATTATTGCATCATGTAAACCTCAACTTAAAATCTTCTGTTTTATCTATTTGTTCTTTTTTGTTTTAATTTTTTACCCTATTTTTTTAAATTACGTTTTTTTCCTTATCATTTATAAATTCGCAATATTTTTTCTTAATTCCCCCCCTTTTTATTTACATTTACATAATTTACTTTCAGACTTTATTTTTTCACATTCTCTATCTTTTCTTTATTCCTTCATTTCCATCTTTGCTTCTTTATTAATTTTATCCTTATTTTGTAGTTTTTCCTTTAATATTTCTATTTAATCAATTTCCATTTATTTCATAAACTTGCCTCCAATTTAATAAAAAAAAATTTCATTTGTAGTTATTTCTACTTAGAGATATCGTTATTTTTATTTTTCCAAGATGGTGACCTAAGATCACCACCATGATGCAAATATCTCTTATTAAATAATAACAGTTTTTCTGTTTAAATTTTTAAGATGAGAAATTAAGCATTATTTTTGCTAATCCATTCAGTCTTGCATCTCCCTCCTGCTTGGTCAAATCAAGACATGTTGCCTATTTAATTTGCCAAACTTCTTCAAGAGTCTGCCACATTTGGAAATCTTTTGCAAAATGCTGTCTGAATTTATGAGATGAAGAATTAACATTATTACAGAATAATCCATTTAGGCTCATATTCTTATCTTGGTTGTCAGAATATTTTGTTTCTTATGCTTTCTAGTCTTTACCAAGTGTATGTTATATTCGATGAACTTGTCAATTGAAGACAGGGTCCAGTCAAAATTTTGTCTTTTATGCTTTCTAGTCTTTACCAAGTGTCTGTTATATTCAATGAACTTGTCAATTGAATACAGGGTCCAGTCAATATTTCTGAGAAGGCTACCTAAAATAAGACTTCTGAAGAGGACCAGAATATAGGATACTTGAAACATTGAAAATGAAGATATTACCCCAAATAGGTTACTGTATAAAACTAATAATAGCTATGTGGTGACAAAGAAGAAAATTAAACTTCACATCTGATTTGTATTTTTTGTGCTGTCAAAAAAGAAAATCTGAATCAAGATTGGGTTGACTTTAGTAGGCCTCGAAATATGGTAACTGTTTTCATTTCCCTACCAGTCTGTAAGTCACATATGATATTTGTTGTTGAAAAATAAATAACTCCACTAGCCTTAAAGTAGTAAACATTCCATCTTTTTAAAATGCCAAGTGCCTTCAGGATGCAGGCAATTATGACTCTCCACTACTTTTTATTATCCATCAGTTGCTACATGTTCATGGGAAAGATAGGGTCATTTTCCATTGCATTCTCAATAGTTTTCCTTCTCTTAGACTGGTTGCCAAAGCTAGAAAGCTTTGTCTACCTTGCTATTTAGCCCATAGCCGGGAGGAGAAGAAACAGATTCATACTTTTTCCATTAGTGCAAAAGTGGGCATAACAAATTCACCTGGAATTTAAATTTAGTTCTCTGATTCTGCTTTCTACGCCAATAGTCCACCTTCCGAGCTAATACCCTTTGGAAAGGTATATATCCATCTCTTCT